GCGCTCCTTCACTACGGCGAATGCGCTCTCACTTTCGCGGTGAGAGGCGACGATGGGAGGTCACCTGGACTTTGAGTAAAGGTCAAGGTGCCCGCTGAGGAGAACCGCCTTCGTTGCATAAGTAGGTGGCTTCGAGCGGGTTTATGGTTCCTTCTTTCTATACACCACTGCTACAAGGAGAGATATCAGTCTTATACACTTCAGTTCTTGGTAAGTTCTCTTGAAGATACAGGCCTAGATTTGCTTTACTTACTGTGTTGCAGAATCTATATACCTTACTATCCAACTCATCAATCCTCCAACCCAAGACAAGATGTCTGCTGCTGCCGGATCATCTCCTCCACCTCCGCCTCCTGGCAGCAACTCCAACGACAAGGGCACTGGCCACGGATCTTCTTCCTACCCCAACCTCAAGATCCCTCTCTCAGGAGACGGGAGTACTCCCCAGAAGGCTGCTTGGGCAGGTATCATGTTCCAACCACCTGGTATCACCAAGAACTACGTCGTCGACGGCGTTGGCCTCTTCCCTCGATACCGTCGTACCCGCGTCGAGGAAGCGCGTGAATATGCTCGACTGTCGTATACAATCCTCGATGGGGAGACCTACGAGGTTATCCCCCAGTCTCAAATTCCCCCGGGTCCCATTGGCAACCCCTCTATGCCCCCTGCTGCGGGTATCGTAGCTCAGATGCAAGAGATTGTCGCGCACGAGAACGCACTTGCGACGGGTTCGGGGGCAGCAACGGATGCTTACAACGCGCTCCAGGCTCACCGTGAGTCTCATCTATTCTCCTCGCACGATCATGGCTGACACTGTGTAGACGGAGACGCCTTTGTAGACGACAACGTCAACACTGGCAATTCATCGGAAGACGCTGCTGGTAAGTCGGTTCAGTGATATACCAGACGAGGACGTACTAATCGCTTGTCAGAATCCTCTTCAGATACATCTGGCGACCGCTCGGCTGGTGCCTCTTCTACAGACTGAGACCTGGCTGTCGGATTTGTGATTTCACTTCGGAGCGACTTTGCGCGCGCTGGGTGAATCCGACTGGAAAGAGTGGGCAAGTAGATGCAACGGAGTTTATCTTGTTAGTCACGGCGTTAGTAGATACCCCTTGGATAGAAGAGAATAACATATGAGATATGAAGTCGAACTCCGTCTTCACACTGCATTTGAATGAGACTACCGCTCGCGGAAAGACTACATGATACCTCCGGGTTTCCTCTCATCAAATCTGACCAACATGTGGCGCGCTACCAAGAGAAGATAGACGATGTGTTATGTATCGTCACTCCATTGTGTTAACCCACCAGCGCTTCGACATGTCATATACACCTACTGCGATACCTTACTGCCCGCTCTGCTTTATTGTTGGCGTTCTCGCTTTCCGCAGATCTTGGCCGGTTGCTACTCTCATACACATGCATCGATTTCGTTAAATCACGCATGTGTTTTCGTAGTTGTACAGACTTGTAGAAACTTATGTAGTGGCTGGAGATATCTTGTAAGCGTGCATCGGCGTCTCTGACATTTACCTTCTTATTATTACGAAAAGACAACGATATTTGAAAGAGGAGCCGCGCGCATCTTTATCGTAGCACTTGCGTAGCAAATTCTCTTGAGTACACCCGTACACAAGGGCAAAAACATATTGCTTACTCTGCACCTCGGCAGCTGTGTTTGTTACTCACACATGGTCAAAAAAGAGTGTGCGTATCCCAGCTTCACATAGCCATGGTGAGAGCAAGGGCAAAAAAAGATTGTCGCAACTAATTGGCGGTACTGGGAACTATAGACATGTTAGAAATGTCTCAGGACCACCAATGAGGGATTGAACGTACTCGAACCCAGGCTGGCGCGGATCTGGATCGGGACACTAGGTGTCCGCCAGCCACAACGCGACGTCATACCACTAGACCATACCACGATAGGGTTGTTAGTACGGTGATTGGGAGAGTGGCTTGGAAAGCTGCTTACCCGAAGTGATTCGTTTTGATGGAGAAGTGTACAAAAGATACAAATATAAAGGCAGCAAATGGATGGGTCTAGCCACCATCTCTCTCGCAGGCAAGTCTCCTATGGGCGTGTGATTCAGAGTTCTGACAGCAAAATCTGGATGCGATGGCGGGGTCAAAAGGTCTGTGCTCTTCGCTAATGGTGGGGCTGGATTTCCTGGTCGCGTCCGAGTTGCTCTTTCTTCACCCAGTCAGTCACAACAGCAACACACCTAAGTGCTCGAATGTCCATAGGTATGTGATTTGAAGTGCTCTACAGGCCCAGCTACGCGTTAAAAGAACGCGATCCTCCAGCTTCAGCGTGAGTTCATCGATATCTAAGATGGCTGGAGCTCTACATGACGAAGGCCGCTTGGAGCTAGTGCTGCATTTGGCGATTTTACCTGCATCTTCGACGAGGGTGGACACCACTAACGCTCGCATCAGAGCACTCATCACCTCGGCAGTCGCGAGGCAAGCCGCGCAAATCCTATCGCGTCGAGGACGAATACTCGTTTCTCGATGAAGACGAGGATGGCATTGCGCCCTCCGGCAAACAGACACCATCCCTCCAAAACGGCGATGATGACGACGGTGATGACTTCATGCCGGATGCCCAGGAGGAGGAGATGGAATATGAAGAAGAAGACGAAGTGGTAGAGGAGGAAGATGACTCTGCGGAAGAGCAGGCCAATTCCGACGAAAGTCCTGCACCAACTCCAAAACGCAATGCACGCGATGCACGAAATGCGCGAGTACCTCAAGCCGTGCCTACTACCCCAGACGTTATTCCGAAACGACGGTACAATGATCCCCGCTACAAGGACATGGCAGACAACATACCGTCACCAGTTATATTCAAGAAAGGAGGTGGCATCAAAGTACGGGTTGTCGATACGGACACCCAATTGCGAACGCGAGGTATCCCCGATTTCGACAAGATCGGTGGTCATGAGCCGCGGCTGAAGAACCTGTTTGGTCCGGATGTACACCATCTGAGACCAGTACTCGAATCGAGGGACTACTGGTTTCCACAAGAAACTTTCCCTATCCGGAGTTATAAGAAGAATAAACCTGATGATGCTGAGGTGGGTAGTTTGAGAAGGAGCTTCTTCGAAGCCGATGGCGCAAGGGAAAAAGAGAATGAAGTCTTGAGGACGTGGTATGCCAATATCGGAAGCCATGCTTTTGCAAAAGCGCAGACAACGAATAAATTGACGGCGGACGAGGCGAAACAGTACATGACAACCCCAGGATCGGATACCATGAACGTACTGGCTGGTCCGGTGAACACGCCCCAAGTCAACACACTGGCAAAAGGCTCATACATGAGCATCGCAAAACCCTTCCCGGGCGATCAAGAGCGACGCGGTTGGTTGTTCAATTTTGGCTCTTGGGTACAAGACGCTCAATGGGCGACGAACGAGGAATCCAGCACCCAATATCTTGCTGTTGCCATCGAGCAGAGACCTACCAGCGGCGACCAACCCAAGCCACTGGAGCAGCCAAAAGCACCCGCATTCAATCCTACTGAGCCATTCCCTGCGTCTATTCAGATATGGTCGTTCGAAGCTGATGATGCAGGCGATTTAGATGCATCGAAAGAGCCGCAACTAGAGCTAGTCATCTGCACAGACTGGGGTGCGCCAAGACATCTCAGATGGTGCCCGGTAGCTGCTACAGACACGACTGAAGAGACGGACGACCCAAGTAGCAGGCATATAGGTATGCTTGCAGGTATCTGGTCCGATGGACGAGTGCGTGTCTTGGATATCTCCGCACCCCCCAAAGCCGACACTCACACTCCTACGTATCTTCGTGTTTCGCGTGCTGCATTTGAAGTTTCGTTTCCTCAAACAGTACCTTCGTGCTTACACTGGCTGTCGGGACATACACTCGCGGTTGCGACCGCAGCAGGCACTGTAGGAATTTGGTCTCTGAGTCGCCCAGGCACACTGAGAACACCCGATGCCACACATCACAACCCCAGACCCTGGTTCTACCAGCAATTAGCAGACACGTATATCCTCACAGTCTCCTCTGGGTGGCCGTCCAATCCGCAGTTCTTGTCCATCAGCACCGCAGACGGTTTTGCGCGTCTCTTCGACCTGCGAAGCCCAAACGCCGACACGACTGCTTCGATACGAGGTCGCACACTTTGCTTAACGCAGGCATGGCACGAGCATACACAGTCCTTCGTCATGCCTGATGAACACTACATCCTGCGACACACGCCAATCCGTCGCTACTACCACAACTTATACAGCATGCGATTAGAAAACAGCATCACACGTGTCGCGACAAGCCCTGTACACCCCGGCGTTCTCATCGGTGGAGTCGACGGAGACATCCAAGCCAGCAACCCGATCATGCGTATCACAAACTACAAGATCATGCCATGGCAACAGAAATGGTTTGTCCACGAGTGGAGAAGACCGATGGAGCGACTGCTAGTCAAGTCTACGACTGGTGGAGACGTCACCATGACCGAAGGCGAACCAGCTGAACCGCCCAACCACGACAACGAACGCGAATTGCAAGTTGGTGAGCCCGCTGATGGAACAAAGAAAGTGCCGCGAGAAGTACTCTCGCAACCTCTGGTCCGCATCACCGAAGGCTACAAGGCTGGTCAAACAGGTATTGCGCACAGCACATCTGCGAATGCGACTAAGAGGGGTAACCCAGAGGTGGGAAGGTCGATTAGTATCTTCGAAGAGCTGACTGCCATTACGGCGCTGGCTTGGAATCCGAATCTGAAGTTTGGGACGTGGGCTGTTGCGGGTATGGCGTCGGGGTTGTTACGCGTCGAGGACGTTGGTATCTAAGAGGGACAATCGAAGATGCTCCTAGTGTTGGTAGCTCATGACATAGCAAAGACTTGCTGTGGGGTGCAGATCGACTTGGCGAATTCGAGACAAGTGCGCACGGAACTTGAGACAAAGTATTGTGTTACATGCTTCATGAATTCATTGGTTCATATCGTGATGTTACTACAAAACCTCCTAGTTGACAGCCTTCAGCTTGCACATCAAAGGGTGCTTCTCCCAGAGAATGAATGTTTTCTGGTTACTCCAATCACTGCTCTCAGGGCAGAGTTCGATATCGAAGTTGTAGTAGACCTTGGAAGCAAGGAGGCGTATCTCGTGGTATGCCATACTAAGTTTACTGTTAGCTTACTATCCACTGGCTATGCATCGTTGAGAACAACAAGGGAAGGATGTAAACTTACTTCTTGCCGACACAATCCCTTGATCCAACAGAGAACGGCTGAACACACTGCCTCTCATCACCATCGAACTCGGGATCACCCATCCATCTCTGAGGAAGGAATTCCATTGGCCTCTTGAAGTTCTTGTCAGACAAGTACATGGCGTGCTGCGGGATCATGAGAATGGTGTCCGGTGGTACGTATTGGCCCACAACAGTACTTCCGTCTTGTGGTGTGAGGCGCGGAAGTCCGAGAGGAACGGGTGGGTAGATACGGAAAGCTTCCTTAATGCATGCCGACAGATAGGGTAAAGCAGCGAGCTGCTCCATGGTCATGTCGGCGTCGCTGGCAAAAGCGCTACGGATCTCATGGTTGAGCTTCGCCATGCAGTCCGGGTTGCGCAAGAGCAGATATGTTAGGCCCGAAACGAGTGTAGCTGTTGTTTCCGTTCCAGCGATCATAAAGAGGGAAGCATTTGCGTCCATCTCGCCTCGGGTCAGGCCTCGGCCCTCCTTTTGGCCTAGCACCAGATCCCATAGATCGACGCCCTCGGAATCGCGGCCTTTCTCAAGGCGCTTTGTCACGCGCGTTACAGAGTGGTTGAAGTGGTCCATCCGCTTCCGATTTACAGACTCAGGTACGTATCTCTTGAACGCACGCCATAGCCATGGATATGACATCATGACGGTGAAGTGAGATCCCATCTTGAGACTGGCAAAGATGATACGGACCCAGGGGTCATATTCGGCGTTGTCAAGCATATGCAGTGGCTCTCCGAAAGTCAAGTCGCCCATGATATCGAAGGTGGTGAAGTTGTACATCCTGACCATGTCGAACTTCGCGGTTGGATCCTTTTCGATGGTGTTTTTCATGGAAGATACAAGTTTGTCGACGTATTTGACGAAGAGGGGTTCTTGTTGTTTCAAGGCTCGGTCCGAGAACGCGGGTGTGAAGATCTTGCGTTGACGACTGTGGTCTGGGTCGGGGGCGATGATGAGGCTGAGTTCGCGGTTGGGTGTTGTGCCATACCTCATCCAGGCTTTCTGAGGGACATGCCCTGCCGTACCTTTGGAGCCATGACCGTAGATCTGGAAGGTGGTCAGTCGGTGTCAGAGACTACATTTGCTTTTTCGGGCACCTAAGCAGGTAGCGGATAGTCCCAACTCGAACCTGGAACGCCGAGCGGGCGTTCAGGTATATCTGTGTCAAGGTATGCAAAACTTACATCTTTCCAAGAATTTGGGTCCGTGAAACTCAATTCATCGTGGTTGACACGAACGACATGCCCATACTTTTGATGTAGGTCTTGGAAGAGTTTGTCTCGCGTGCCTCTCCAGACAGCAATGTTATATGGGATGCGCGTCGCAGCGTAGAGTTTTGGTCCAGGAAAGTGTCGTAGGGGATGGAAGTATATGCGGTAGATGGCTCTAGCGATGAAGCGGAGAACCAGCTATGCTAAATTAGCAGCTATTTTTCGAACGAGCTTCAGCGATTCAAGGCAGCACTTACAAAACCGACCAAAGAGCCAAGAATGTGCGGTATCGAGGCCATGTTGAAGATTTTCATGATTCCCGAAGAACCGTTTGTTGATGTTGAAGACATGACGCTTGGAGTTCAGCCACCATATGATGATCTCAATGCAGGGCACGCGCAAGCTTTAAGTACAGACAAGTACAAGCACTACATTTGTCGCACTAAAAGAAACGGAGTAGGTGCCATGCCGAGACGGGACACAGCCAGCTCGCCTAGTACCGTTGACGTCGGTAACCAGTAGCCAGGCACCCAGTGTCAAATGATCGGCTGGAGTAGCCCAAATGTCGCACCTAATGAGGCATTTGACGCGAGTCGACCATCCGTGGGGAGGGTATTTCCCACGCTCACCGTCCGGCTAATGAGGATCATTAAGCTCGTCCAGAACCCACTCCCTCGGAGGGTCGGCAATCAGGTCTGGCAGATGGCTGTGCGGGTTAAGCACAGCCTGGCTTCGTACATCAGGGCGTAATATGACATGTGAAGCCTGCCAAATATGTTTCAGAGTGTGGCAGAGCCCGATAGGACACTTTCGTCCGTGTAATGCTCACCGGCCGATCGCTCGGAGAATTGAGTTTATACGTTGCATACGATGCTGTGGGGAAGCAAGCGGGCGATCAGCATGGGTACTATTCCGGACCGTCGAATCGCACTCGCATGCGCATTCGGACAAGCTCCCTGGCAGATCTGTACACCCAGTTAAAGACCATTCCCAAACTGCACAGTTTGGATGTCGCTATTGAAGCCGAGTCGCAAGCACTGTTAGTAGCAGCGACGTAGTCGTCATATCTCACCACACGACCTCGGGAATGCACAAGCCCGAACGTGCACAGCTAAACCCATCCGCGGAAATGACCAAGCGCAAACACGAAGCCAAGAAGTGATCGTAATCTGAGCATGTGTAACGCTAATGCGAATGATAATGATTCGCCCATGAGCATAGTCGGTGAAATCCGCAAACAGCAATGCACCGCCATCATGTACGCAGACATGGCCCGTGCGGCTATCAGATCGTGACTTCGCGTTGAGGCGTTTCCGTCCCAAGGGCAACATATCAACCCCGCCCATCCTTGCACAACTACAATGGCAGCGACACCAGCACGCAGAGGCGTCTCCGCCCTGCTCTCCGCTTCGTCATCAAGAACAATCGCCATACGGATACAGCAGCGGAGCTTCACTTCATCCCGCATCTTCGCCGCATACGCGACTGCACCCAGGCCTGCAGCGACCAGCACAACTGGCACAACCAGTACCTCCACAGCTGCCAAGCCAGCAACTACAACGTCAACGGCGCCAAAAGCTGCGACCACAGCGACCCCACAGCGGACAGTACAACCGCAGTTTGTCGCTAAAGAACCACCCATACCAACAACACGTAATGCCACCGCAGAAAGCGCAGCAACAGCAGCCCGCAAACAACGCTCCCTCACCGACGGACTCTCCGATGCCCCGCCCGAGCTAGAAGGCGTACCGGCGATAGACTGGACACGGTCATACCACGGTCTTGGCTCTGTATCTTTCACACCGGAACAAGGAGATTTGCTACTCGCGCCTATCACACAGGACGACGTGGAGGTGAAGCCCGATGGTATCATATACCTGCCTGAGATCAAGTACAGGCGGATATTGAACAAGGCGTTTGGACCTGGAGGCTGGGGTCTTGCGCCGAGAGGCGAGAGCATTGTTACGGGCAAGTTGGTGACGAGGGAGTATGGACTTATTGTGCAGGGACGGTATGTTGCTCTTTCCATCTTTCGCTATTCCAACGAATTTCCGCTAACGAACAATTCAGACTTGTTTCCATCGCCCGTGGCGAGCAACAATACTTTGACCCCGATGGCATCCCCACTGCGACTGAAGGCTGCAAATCGAATGCCCTGATGCGATGCTGCAAAGACCTGGGTATCGCGTCTGAACTCTGGGATCCGCGCTTCATTCGGGATTTTACGAATAAGATGACGAAGGAGGTGTGGGTGGAGCATGCGAGCACAAAGAAGAAGAGAAAGATTGTGCTGAGGAAGGACGACACTGCCAAGTATCCGTACAAGGAGGTGAAGTTGTAGATGTGCTCTGGGTCACATTGAGGAGCATACAGCTGGAAGGCAATAGACCCGATTTCAGATGTCTCAGGCGTAGAACCCGCACACAGCTAGATGTGGGTGTAAAAATATGTTGTAACATCACCAGGACGACTCGTCCTACTCATACTCATGAATTGGGATACCAAATATACACAGCTTCAGTGTACCTGTGAAGCCTAGCAGAATACCATCTACCATCTTGCCCAAACGCCATGAATCATCGCCATCATATCACAGATTTTGTCCTCCAAGGATTCTTCTAGCGATCGCCTAGATCAAAACCTGAAGCCCTTGATCTGTTCCTCACATCGCTTGGCTCCCTGCCGTAAGCCAACGGGTCGTCGCGTGGGAGTTCCTGACGCTGCCAGTTCCACGGCATCCAGCCACTGCTTGTCCTTCGACCGAGTGCGGGTGGTGTGAGGGGGTACGGTGGTCGGTCGGAGCCCGAGCTCAGTTCGTCGCGCTCGATCCTGTCGAATTCCGCTTCGCTCCTGTTACGGGAGAGGCTACCAGAGAGGCTACCAGTACTCCTGTTGACTTCGTGGTATCTGCTTCCGCCTGTTTGTTGTGTGCGGATGTTTTCTTGTTCGCGGTCGAATGCTTGCAGGAGGGTCTCGAGGCGCTGGCGTTGCGACGCAACGTAATCGAGTCGGTCGTTGTTGTTGCGGATGGAGTCTGGGACGAGGTTCCCGGCGCCGCGGCTCAGATCTGAGGCTTGCGCATCTCGAGTGCCTGCGCTACCGGCACCGTAAAGTGCGCTGGCTCCGCTGAGTGCTTGGTTGACAAGTCCGTATAGATCGTTGCTGCCCCTCGCCGAAGGCATCTGGAACCTGCTCATGAGGTTTTGTGCGTACGTCTGCCCTTCTGGTCTGGGCGCCTGCGGCTTTCCGGGTGCGAAACCCAAGACGTTGACCTTGACCCACTCGATGCCCATCTCGACGTATGCCATGCCTGCCGATTTAGCACGGTCATGGCTTTGTGTAATAAACTCGTCGATCTCTCGCTCATGGTGGTATAGGAAAGGCTCCATGTACTCCTGGTACAGGTAGTTTGCGCCCTGCGAACCAGGTAGGATCAAGTAAAGATGTGCGAAGAATCGAATCCATGAGTAGAACGGCACCCAGCTGAGGATGAAGTCGAAGGTGTTCTCTACGGCGGTGAAGGCAGAGAGGACGACGAAGTAGATAAGCCAGGGTGCGAGGAGGGCTGGGTCGGAGGTGTGAAGAGCTTTGTAGGAGGCGAAGATAGGGAAGAAGACGGTGGTTGCAACGCTATCGCCATATTAGCTAGGTTCTCTGTGAATACGTCGCAGCAAAAAGAAAACACTGCATATCGCAGTCATGCGAGCTCCAAGAAAGCAAGCGGCGAGCTCACGATACCTCATCAGGCCTCAAAGTTTGTTCGAGAATTGGCAGCTGCAGGCGGGGGCGGGGTAATACTTACGTCAAACCGTCGGCGACAAAGCCGAACATGATTCCAGTCGTTGGGCGTCTTCTTTGGGTGTAGGTGTTTAGGTGGGAGATGCAGAACCGGGACCTACAGGTAGCGAAAGCTCAAGCCTCACGGATACGCGGGCGGAGATGTGGAGTGGCTCAGGCTGATGATCCATCCGATGTACGTCAGTCGTCAGTCGGCGGTCAAGGGCGGCGCGCTATCCACTTTCGGTCCTTTGTGTGTGAGCTCCCGAACGTCAGCTGCTGCAAAGAGAGTCTAATCGTGATGCTAGGCATTGTAATCAAAGACATCAGACTCTCACACTGACTAGCTGTACGTGGGTTTCTATTGTTGTGGGCGGTAGTTGCGGTCGCGACTTCCCATCGGACTCACGTCGCGAACGCGTGTCGGCCCAATCATGGCAGCTACCACCCCCTCCACTTCAACAGGTCGATTCTTTCTTGCCTTCCGTCTCTTCGTATCCTCCTATACTCATCAGCGCTTTGTTTTGCTTCGATACCTTTCACTTGGGTGTTCTCCGCCACGTTCTTGTGCCTTGATGCAAAGTCATCACTGCCATTAACCGCGATAGCATCATCACGATACCGTTCCTTCCCACGCGACTGCACGGTGCAGCTAATGTATACTTCCTTTTTTCGAAATTGGATGAAACAGATACCACGGGGTTAGCGAAGGTTCGGCTCGTCTACATATTAGATTGCGCTCGGAACCCTATTGTGCTCATCCACTGTTTGACGCGCCTACATCCGAGACCTGTACCGCTTTTACAACACTCGCCTTATAAACATCCGAAATGGCAGGCCGGGGCAACTACCAAGACGCTTCTTATGCTGCCATGGCGCCAAGATACCGCTTATCAGAGCCCTGCGCTCGATAACAGCTCCGCACCCCGCGTTTGCGGCCGTTGTCGCGGCTGACATCATCCCGTTCTTCTCCAAAACCGCGGACGAAGAAGCTATCGTGAACGATAAAATGGGACAAGGGTTACGTAAACCAGCTATCTTCTTCCATCATACTAAGCTAGATGCGTTAGTTTGCAACGATGTCCTTGGCTTGTGCTTGTAGTCCGTCGACACTCCAGTAAAACGTCTTCACTGTATCTCTAGGAGATATGGCTTCTTGGCCACGCCAGGATAGAACAATCCGCAAACCTCGAAGCGAGGAACTCAGATGCCGAACGACGTACGCCAACCTTCAAGTATCCATATCTCGCATTAA